ACCAACCTGGACAACATGGCAAAAAATGTTAAACATGTGGCATTGAGGCCGGGCACAGTGGCTCACGCCTGTATTCCCAGCACTTTGGGAGGCCGAGAGAGGTGGATCATTTGAGGTCAGGAGTTTGAGACCAGCCCAGCCAACATGGTGAAGCCCCATCTTTACTAAAAATACGAAAATTAGCCAGGTGGTAGTGGCGCAGACCTGTAATCCCAGCTACTCGGGAGGCTGAGGCAGGAGAATCGCTTGAGCCTGGGAGGCAGAGGTTGCAGTGAGCCTAGATTGTACCACCACATTGCAGTGTGGGCAACAGAGTGAGACCCTGTCTCAAAAAAAAAAAAAAAAAAAAAAAAGAGGCCTTGAAATCTTTATCCAGGTAAAAGGCAATCATAGGCAGAATGAGATAACCACAATAATAATGAAAAACGTTCTAATTTGAAAGTCAGGCACAAGTGCAGTTTGAAATCTGATTGTTACTAAATGAATTTAGTCTATCCTAAAAACTATTTCTCATGTCTACCCGTGTTATCGGAAGAAACAATAGCATTCTAGCATCCCAATATCATTCTAGCATTGAGTTGAAATGTTGCCATCCTAGGAGAAGACATGGGTTCTTATGGATAAATGATTTAGCCTTCAGCCAGCTTTAGCAGTGTTTGGGAGCAGTGTACAGACATGCACCAGATCCCACCTTTCCTCTGTGAAATGCTGCAGTGCTATATGGTGCTTTGAAAACGTGCCCCGCTGGAGCGCTTTGGGAAAAAAACGCCTGGTTCAAAGTTTCATTGATTATAGTCTGGTAAAGCAACTGATTGCCTCTACCATTTATTTTAAGAAAGTTTCCCAACAAAATAGCCCTCCATTTGCCTCTGTAGTGAACTGTGTGGACAAGGACATTAAATGACTGTGCATTAAAAGTTAAATCTGTTCTCACTTCCTGCCCGTTTGTGTTTCAGGCATCCTGACAAAAACAAAGATCCTGGAGCAGAAGACAAGTTCATTCAAATCAGTAAGGCTTATGAGGTATCGTGTCCAGCTTTGCGATGCATCCATTAGCTCTTATAAAATATGCCTTAGGAGGTGATGAGTTTCGTAAAGTTCTCAGAAAGGTCATGTTCCGCATGCCCTTGACCCAGCTTCTAGATTATAATAGAACAGGCTGGGCGCTGTGGCTCATGCCTGTAATCCCAGCACTTTGGGAGGCCAAGGCAGGAGGATGGCATGAGTCCAGGAATTTGAGACCAACCTGGACAACATGGCAAAAAATGTTAAA